CATCTTCTTCTCTTTCCCAAGTAGCCTCATCCTCACCATGTCCACCTCATTGGACTTTGACTAGTGGAACCTTTCGATTCCTCTGAACGTGGTCTTTTCTCTCCACAACTACTGAAGGAGCTTTCTTGTACGTCATCTCACTATGGACATCTAGTGACCGAACATTCACCACATGGTTAGGATCCGATATATACTTTCTCAACATAGAAAGGTGAAATACATTGTGCACTGCTGATAGTTCGGGTGGCAACGCTAAACGATATGCCACATTCCCAATTTTCTCAAGAATTTCAAATGGACCGATAAATCTAGGAGTCAATTTTCCTTTCTTTCCAAATTGTAGTATTCCCTTCATCGGCGCCACTTTGAGAAATACTTTATCTTAAACTTCACAAGTTAATTCTTTTCTCCTTTTGTCGCATAGCTCTTCTGACGATCTTGGGCAGTCTTAATTCTTGATATAATTTTATATATAGCCTCAACAGTCTTCTCGACCAATTCTGGACCCAAAACTCTCCTTTCGCCTACTTCATCCCAATGTAATGGAGAACGACATCATCGACCATACAAAGCCTCATACGGTGCACTTGCTAGCTACGAACGAGCATCGCATGGGCATTTTCTGCACTCGGGATCTAAGCCAACTCGAACTTTTCAAAAGATGGAAGAAGATCTATCACATGTTTAAGGTATGTAGCCATACCTTTATCTCTTGCGGTGAAGCTTCCATTGACTTGACCCATGACAAGTTGGGAATTAGTGCTTGTTATAATTCTCTTCACCTACATTTCCTTAGTCAATCTAAGGCTTGCTAGGAGAGCGTCATTTTTTGTAGCATTGTTAGAAGCTTTTAATCCAAACCTTGCCACACAATTGAGTTTGTGGTCTTCTGGGCTTACTCAGACTACCCCTACCCCAGAGCCTATCTCATGAAAAGAGCCATCAACAAAGAAGTTCTATGTTGGGGGCTCAACCAACTCCACCATTTCTTCAACTTTCGGATGTTGGTGAATTTAGCCACAAAATCAGCTAAGGCCTCACCTTTGATGGAGGTTTTTGTTTTGAATACAAGATCGAACCACTGAGCTCGATTGCCTACTTCATCAATTTCTCCAAAGCATCATGTTTCTGAAGCACTTGTTTCAAGGAGAAGTTGGTTAGCACATGTATGCTATGGGCCGAAAAGTATGGCTTCAAATTTCTAGAAGCGGTGACGAGGTAAAGAGCGAGCTTCTCTATGTCTAGGTAACGCACATCTACTTTTAAAAGGGCTTTGCTGATGTAGTATATGGGCAGTTGATGGTTGCTTTCTTCCCTAATGAGGATTGAGCTAATGGCCTCTTTGGAAACTACCAACTACAAGAGCAAAGGGTTCATCAGCTCTTGGTTTCGAGAGGAGGAATACCTGACCTAGGTGCTTCTTCAGCCCCTAGAAGGCCTCTTCACACTCCTCGTTCCATTGGAAATTTTTCCCTTCTTTCAAAATTTTGAAGAATGGTGGCATTTTCTGTTGCTTTGGAAACGAAGCGGCTCAGGGCTGATATACGTCCAGTGAGTCTTGATTTTTCTGGGTTGGCTTCAATTCATCTTTAATTGACCATGTAGCAAGGAAATTTTCTCAAAGCAACACCGAATGCGCATTTAAGGGGTTTAACCTCATCATATACCTTCTTCAAATTTGGAAGGTAGCATCCAAGTGTTCTACATGGTCTTTGTTTTCAAGCCTTTCATAGCATGTCGTCAATGTAGAATTCCATGGTGTTGCCAATGACTTCGAGAAATATTTTATTGATAAATCTTTGGTAGGTAGCTCTGGCATTTTTCAACTCGAATGACATTACCTTATAGTAATAGAGGCATCTGTCCGTCATGAATCGGGTGTTCTCCTTATCCGTTGGATGCATTACAATCTGATTATAGCTTGAACATGCATCAATAAGCTCAGCAGTTCATGACCTATAGTAGAGTCTTCTAGTTGGTCGATCCTTGGGAAGGGTAAGATATCCTTTGGGTGGGCTTGGTTAATGTTGGAGAAGTCTATCTACACCTTCCACTTGCCATTGTGCTTCTTCACCAAAATCGAATTGGGGACCCACTTTGGATATGTGGCCTTTCTAATGAAGCCATTGGTTATTAGCTTCTTTATTTCTTCTTTCAGGGCCTCATACCTTTTAGGATTGATGGCTCTCCTCTTCTGTCAATGTGAGATGACCTTAGGATCAATTTTTAGATGGTGGCAACTAACCTTTGGGTCGATCCTCACCATATTCACGTGCTTCCATGAAAAGACATCCAGGTTCTTGTAAATGAAGTGCTTGAGCTTCTCCTTGGCCTCAGGTGGTAGAAAATGAAGTGCTCGAGCTTCTTCTTTGGTTTATTGAAGGATTATAAATAATCGAACTGGTGTTACAAAATATGTCTAGGGTATAGCAAGAAAATATATTTCCTCTTGTAGAACTGCCATATATCCCTAGCAGGTTTATAGTGTTTTGTGCTCTTAAATTAACTCGTTGGCCACACTATTCATATACCTGTATGAACTTGGAGATATTGAGATATATATAATTGAATTTATATTAAGATCAAGTCAAGCTCATCATGTACGAGTGTGAGATGTTGGAAGAAAACGAGTTGCCCAAGTGGGCTGACCTGACCTAGATTGCATGGGAATAGTTCGGAGGGAAAAGTTGAGGAAGTTGAGTTTTTTTTTTTTATTTGAAATCATAACTCCCCACTACCTCTAACTTCCATAAACACCCACTCTATCACAAAAATATATAGAGAACAATGCAATTCAGATTATAAAAAAGAGAGAAAAATACATGAGGGTAGTGACTTGATTTTGGAAGTATAACATCTCAAATTGGGTTCTTGGATTGTGAACATCAAACTCATTCCTTAGTGATCAAGTTTCTGACCAGTAAACGGGCACAAGATGGTGTGGAAAGCAAGCAATAAAAGGGCAAGTGATTTAACCTCGTTTTAGTGTTTTCAAGTAAGTTTTACTTTTCCAAACTCGGTTATAAGCATGCAAGCACATTTTACAAGATGAGAAATGATAGTCGTTGGATGAAGTGACATATAGCCTCATCTTAACGACTGAGGTCATCTCTTAAGTATCACTCCACCAATCATAGTCGACAGTCATTTAATGATTCTGAAAAGTAACCATACCAGTACCAAGGTCTGGCCTTCAATATGTAGACTCACAATTTGACTTTAAGGTGCTACTACAGTGAGTTATCACATCAATCAGTCACATGTGTATTTGTACAAAAGATCTTTTAAGAGGATGTGAATTGGAAGATACCATTTGTAAATGTGGAGGCTAAGAGCATCTCACTTCTTCCCTGCAGCATACATGTTACTTTAGCCATGCAGGGCCGGCCTCGACATGGCACCTTGGTTAAAATGATGTATCACCTCGACTACCTTATATGGCCTCACCTCAGTTAGCTAAGAGGTAAAGTGGAGTGTGGGCCTTACTGATTTTCTTAGTTGGTTGTCATGTTGATGATGATCTAGAGCCTTTTCATAAGAGGTATAACAATTAGAATGCATTAAATTGTAAATTATCTATATGATTGCACACATAATAAATTTTATTCCTAACATTTATTGCACACATATTAATTTTGTCACGTTCTAAATTTATTGTGAGTCTCGCAACACTACACAAGAAACTAACTATCTAATTAGTGATAAAGTAATTAAATAATGCAATGGATATGCAAAATTAATTAAGAAACTCAAAAAAAATACTCAACTACTTGTCTTGAATTAAAATAAATAAAAAATATGATTCATATTCATCCAATACTGTTATGGATCTAGCTAAGCATGTTTCTAAAGATAAAATAACAAGAAGAATGGAAAAGCATCAACATGAATTTATAACTACAAGAAAGATATATCACGGTCTAAGTCTTGTTATTGTTCCTCAACCCCGAGCGTTGATTCTTGAACAAAATTAACATCTAGTTAAGTCATTAACTCATCAAAATTAATTATAATTAGTCATATTTAACGGTCCAAATAAGTGTATGAAATATACTTATTAAGGGACCCAAATACAATTGACGTGAATGTTTGGGGACCATCTATTAAAAACAAGTTTAACAAATTGTAGAGATTCAATGGATTGACTAATCTAGACTTAAATTTTAATATTCAACATGAGAGTGGCTGAGCTTGGTTTGACTTGTTGGAGAGTCGAGCTCGGCCCATTAATCAACAAGCCAAACTTGGGCTGGTTCGTTGTCCAAGAGGTATATGGTTGAGTCAAAATGAGCACACTTAGAACCGTTGTATTTCTTTTAAAAAAAAAAAAAAATTTACAGATGTTTATAAAAGAAATTAAACACGACATATTAAAACCCTTCATTCTTTTTTCGAGCTTGTAACCGTCTTGCAAGGTAAGACCAAGGGTCCATTCTTGGGATAGGCTTGTGAAGCCCAGAGCCCAAGAATTCGAACTCTAATCCTATTGACAAGTTAAAAGGCGAGTTCGTCTCAATCTTGAGCTTGTATAAATGCATGCGGCTGAGTTGGCCAACGACACGGACCTAGTATCCTCGTACTTCAGCACCTTTAGTCAACCGTACAAACCCGCACTAAATTGAGCTATACCAAATAAGGCCTGTTTTGTGTTTGGTCATATTGCATACTTTAATGGCCTATTCACAGTGGTCATTTAAAATTGTGGGGCATGCAACAAACCACCGAATCACCAAACTTATCGTAAACATCCAAAAGTCCTCTGAATTTTTTATTCTTATTTTATGATGCACGATTCATGTCGTTTCAGACAAGTTTTAAACCTATTAAATTCGAAAAACCCAGTATTGAGTATCAGCATTGTCCAGTAATTTATACCAAATTTGAGGCTATTTATTTGTGAATCAGCGACAGCCCAGATCACTACCACAGTATAAAAGCCCCACGTAAGAATCTCGAAACATAGTGCTTAAAATTCACAAAAGTCAGCAATTTTATTTACGATGGCTTTGGAACAGAGCAATTGGGTTAAGGTTTGGTTTTTCTGGCTTTCTTGGGTTTTAAATTTTTCTGCATTTTTTTACTAACTTTTTTTGTGAGATTTAGTTTATGGGTTTTAATTTTGGAAATTCTATCATGCCTTTCGCGTTGATCACTAGACAAAATTAATTATTTTGATCATTCCAGGATAGTTCAATTTTTTCCCCAACTAATTTTACCATTTTTAACCCTATACATCCTTATGGTAATTTACAGGAACAAATGATTGATTTTTGGTGAAATCCCCAGTTTCTAGTGACTTTTTTTTTTTTTTAATTCTTTGTTATGACTAATTATAATTTACAAGGATTTTGCTTAATTTTAACAATTGACTGTGCTTTTTGTTGCACAACTGTGTGGTCTTTTAGATGAAATCCAATTTTCAGCTTATTCTCGAATTATGGTAGCATGGTTTAGTAGTGAAACAATTTTCAATTCTTTTTCATGACTAATTATAATTTATAAGGTTTTTGCTTAATTTAAAAAGTTTACTGTGCTTTTTGTTGAACAACTGTGCAGTCTTTTAGACGACATTCAATTTTCAGCTTATTCTCGAACTATGGTAGATTGGTTTAGACTTAATAACAGAGTGAGTAGTGGACGAATTTGGTATCTAAAGTAACTTTTAAGCTCTGCGAATGATAGAAATATGAATTATTTGTGCTGAAATTCACCATATGCAGCTGGAGCAGAAAGGTACTGGACCAGGATCAAGAAGCTCACATGCTATAACCCTCATAGGTGAAAAGGTTTATGCATTTGGTGGGGAGTTCACACCTCGTCTCCCTGTGGATAACAACTTATATGTGTATGATCTCAATGACCAGACATGGTCGATTGCTGATGCAACCGGGGAAATTCCTCCTCCTCGTGTTGGTGTTACAATGGCATCAGTTGCAGAGACAATATATGTTTTTGGTGGAAGAGATGGTACACACAAGGAGCTTAATGAACTCTACAGTTTTGACACGGTTATGAACAAGTGGACCCTACTCTCGAGTAGCGAGATTGGGCCTCCTCACCGCAGTTTCCATTCAATGACCTCAGATGACTGGCGAATATATGTCTTTGGCGGCTGTGGGGATGCTGGACGGCTTAATGATCTATGGGCTTATGATGTTCCTCATGGAAAATGGATCAGTTTGCCTATGCCAGGGGAAAATTGTAAGCCTAGAGGTGGACCTGGACTAGTTGCAGTTCTCGGTAAAATTTGGGTCGTATATGGTTTCTCTGGAGTGGAGCTTGATGATGTACATTACTTCAATCCAAATGAAGAGAAGTGGGTTGATGTCGAGACTAGTGGAGAAAAGCCAACACCTCGAAGTGTATTTTCAACGTTTGCAGTCGGTAAGTATATATTTATATATGGTGGAGAGATTGATCCAAGTGATTTAGGCCACCTTGGTGCCGGAAAATTTTCCGATGAAGTCTATGCACTTGATACTGAGACGCTAGTGTGGAAAAGATGGGGAAATGTCTCGGCTGCTGATTACCATCCAGGGCCACGAGGATGGTGCGCATTTGCAGGTGGGCAACGAAATGGCCAAGAGGGATTATTGGTGTATGGTGGGAATTCTCCTAGTAATGATCGACTGGGTGATATTTTCTTCTTCACTCCTTCCTTTGATGTGAATGGAAAATGATGAGAATCGAGATGTTTTTCTGTGTATGATGATTTAGTTGCAGAGAAATGGATGATGATGTTTCTTCTAGTGTGCATTGTGCTTGTAAGTTGCTTTCTAGAGTAATGAATAAAGATGAGATTGTTGTATCAAAACTATGAGGGCACCTGGGTGTAAGACTTATTTTCAACTTTATTAGTGTTTCGTGCTTTTGCCTGGTTTTGTACTTAGAAATTGAATGAATCGACCCATATTCTAAGAATCTCTGCACAATTTAAAGGTTGTGACGTTCTATTAGAAGCATGAGACTCAGTTTTCTCTTCATTCTTTTACGTCTCTATGCCTCTGGTTTGCCTTAGTAACAGTGAACATGCCCACATTGCCTTCAAAAATCGTGCAAGACCAAACCAGACCCGGAAACCTTAGAAGCCTCTCTCGCTCAAGTGAAACGAGACAGATAATTCTCCCAACTACGTGCTTGCTTGAGCTGGAAGAACCAGTAGATTTTTATTTTTGCGTTGTTTTCTCTTCCTTGCTCCTATGTCTTCTATCGGATATATTTTTCTCATTCCAACAATTAATCGTAACCTTATTGAGTCTTCTTTGCACTTATTGTTGCAAATATGCTATCTAAGATTGGGAATAAAAATCAATAGAATTTCGACTACTAATAACAATTATTATTAGAGTCATAGTAGTTTTTAACAACACTGTGATACATTATGCCTTGCTTCACATTATGTAACAAGTTTGAATCTTCACAGAAAGCTATATTTCGCGTTGTGCAAGAAGGTCCGGTACCTCCTGGCATTGTATTTTCAAAACCGCAACAATCTATAATAACCACTTATGGCGTGATTATCGTTGCAGAGTCATGATCTCTCATCAATGACGTAGCACGAAACAACAAATTTAAGTGATAACCTTAAGAACACAAATATGGAATCCACTTAAGAACACAAATATGTAATCCATTCTCTATGAAAGATAAACTTAAAACGTTTTATTAATTTGAAAACTGCCTAAAACGAAGAATTAGACATTTACTTGTAAGGGTTTACACAAAACCCTAGTTTAAAAGCATTAAAATTGTAAAGAATTCGAAATAAATTAAATGATAAAAATAGTGCTAAAACATAAAAAGCAGTTTTCTAGTCCTAACGAACTCGGATGACTAAAATCCACCATCCTTTTCGAAAAGGTATTATGAGTCCAAATCGGAGCTCGAACGTCAAATCTGTAACTTTCTGTTTTTCCCATTCCGGTCAAATTGTTCCACAATCCACTAGGCCATCTGTTCTACATCTCCACCTCCGAAGAACTTGACCCCAAGTTATAATCTACATAGAGAGGTTCATCATCTTCATGGAATTCGTACAGATCAGACACATTGAATGTACTAGAAATACCCATAGAAGCTGGCAAATCAATAATTACGCATTATTGTTAATCCGCTTAAGTATTTTGAAAGGCACATAGTTTCTTGGTTTCAACTTGTTGTAAGTACTAACGGGGAATTACTTGTTTCTTAGAAACACCATCATCGAGTTTCCTTGCTGAAATTGTTTATCACATCCATGTAAATCTATCGCTGCCTTATATTTTGCATTGGTCTTTTCCAACTTCTGTTTTACTTCATTACAGAATGCTAGGATCTCTTTAGTCAGATGTTTAGCAACAACACTCTTGCTATTGCCCTTGGGCAACTTCACCAAATCCACAGCATGGTAAGGAACAATAGCGTACGTAGTAGTATGAACTGCAATGTTTTATGCAAACTCAACCTTAGGCAATGCAAGAACCCACTATTTGGGCTTACCTCCACAGATGCTTCGGACCATAATTCCAAGGGTACGTTTAATTACTTAGTCTATCCATCGGTCTAGGGATGAGCAGTTGGTGTACTGTCGTAGGCACCCAAAAATAGTCTTTAAACCTCTAAAACTAATGTAGTAATGGAAGTAAAGGTCGATCCCACGAAGAGTGTGTAATTCAACAATTTATGTTTCGTATATCGATTGGGGGGTTTTGTTTATAACG